AAACCCCTAAATCCCTAATCCTAAACCCTTACTATATACTATACTAGCAGCCTCCGGGCTTGGTCTAGGGAGGTTGAGCTTGGGGTCTGGCGCTTTGTGTTTTTTAGGGACGCAGGGGTCGAGGAACCATGGTTTCGAGGGTTTATAGGGCCTCGAGGGTCTTGGGGTTTTGGGGCTTGGGGTTTAGGGTTTAGGGCCTCAGGGTTTAGGGTTTAGGGGCTTGGGGTTTGGGGTTTAGGGTTTAGGGGTTTAGGGTTTAGGGCGTTTAGGTTTGTCGGGGGGGGGAGGGGTGTTCTACCAACAGTATATTCGGAACTATAGGGGATACTCTTGCTAATGATTCAGGCCAATTCATGCTCCTTGTCTGTTTCGGCTCGGGATTAGAGATTGGAGGGAGTGAAAGTCGGCTTTCAGCGCGCTATATAATATGCAGCATGCAGGCCTGAATAGTTAGTCATCATGTCTCGATCCTTATAGCCCATGTATGATGAGTTCTACCATAGCATACCCTTGTAACCCCCATCGCCATGCATGAAGGCCGCTGGATTCAGGCCGCTACAGCTCCATACGATTCAACTTCACAACAGGGTGAGGGCTTCGGTCGTGGGTATTATGGGCTCCTAACCTCTAGACTCCCAGTCCCGAAAATCGTTAAGCCCCATGCGCCAAATACCCTAAACCCTACACCTACACCCTAGCCTCTAAACGCAACAAACTCTAAATCTTAAACCCGCACATGCAGTAAACCTTGCGAGGTCTTCATGCGGCATTTCTTCACGGTCTTCAGCCGCGGCAGTGGCAATTTGGGTGAGGCAGCTTTTTGAGTTGAGTGTATTACGGTTTAGAGGGCTTCGAGAGATTTTCGGGATTAGGGATTGAAGCCCTAAACGCTTAACCCTAAACCTACTGCTTTTATCCCTACCAAACCTTTGTAGAACCCAGACAAAAACCTATAGAACCCCTGTGGAAGCCTTGTAAAAATAATAGAACCCTTCAAAAACCTTAAGAACCCTCATCGCTCAATACTGAAACCTAGAGAACCCTTTATAGAGCTACTATACAATCTATAGAATCCTTCCTAAACCCAAAACCCCAAACGCTAAACCCATTAGATATCCTCCTCCTCCTCGGCCGTTTGCTGCAGGCACGGGTTGGTTTCGCCAAAGCCAGGGCGGGTGCCACGCCCAAGGCGGGGGAAGGGTCACCTGTTTTAGGGTTCAGCGTTTTAGGCTTTGCGGCTTAGTGAGTGGGAGTTTTCTGTAGAGGATTTAGGCAAGGTTTTTAAAGGGCTCCTGCACAGGATTTCTTAAGGGGTTCCTTTATGAGGGATCTCTGGGGTTGATTGGGGGGGGTTTTATTAGGCTTTTGGCGGTTTCGGGTTTAGTCTTTGCGGCGTGACGATTTAGGGATTTGTCTATATTCTCCATTGTAGTTCCTTTCTGTGGTTTAACCAGTTTTATATTTAGGATCCTATAAGGCAACCCGAAAAAGGAACCACAATGGAGACTATAGGTAGTGTTTTACGATTTTAGGAGGTCCGGTTGAGGTCTGGTCCCCATAGAAAGGGAGATGCCCGTTCGGGGCGGTTTAGGGTTTACGATCTGTGTTGGCTTCCGTACATCGAAGCAGTGTTAGAAGTGAAGGTGTGCAGGTGTGCATCTTGGATCCCAGGTTTCAAGCTATCCACATTCACTCTGAAGCCTGCTGACAAGAATAGTCCACACAACGGTTGCTTGTTATGAGAATATTGAATATCGAGCGTGGATTCCTGATGTTGGCAGCATAGTATCGAAAGCATTCCGCCAGGACCTGAGTTTGGGACCCGAATAACTTTAACCCACCGAACAGCACCAGTAGCGGCGTTTGTCCTAGAAGAGGGCTTAAGCCACAGGACTTCAAGATAACTGATTGTTAGATTTCAAAATTTGCTTCTGGCTCGTTAAACGGTCCTGGCGTCCGACCTCTATGTCTTGATGTCAGCTTTGGGCTGTTTTCCTCAACTAAGGTACTGACATACCTCACTCAACCAACAAGGAGCCTTCCTCAATCTCAATGCTGCATTCCTTTGGATCGGCGTTCGGAATATCATGTTCATTTTGGGGCATTGGACTGGGTGGCAAGGGGAGGCGCTGAACCGCACGCCCAACCCATACACAGCTAGTTATAATCCATTATGTGCACCCTTGATCAATAATGAGCCCATTTCCCTCAAACCCTGCCCCTACTAACAAACGACGGTAGCTCGCATCCTGCTCATAATCAGCGCCCCACACAGAAGCAGGGTTTGGTCATCACTGACATGAAGAATAGTCTTGTTCGTACTTCACTTCAAGATGCATCTTACGATTATTGTTATCCATCCACGGTACAGGAGAGTGCTATTAAACATTATGGCTGTTATTTACTACTATTCTACGTGCCGGGGGCACTTTTGACACTTTGCGTTTCGACCCCAGCCCCTCTAGACCCTATGACTTAAATTCCTCCCCCCCCAAAAAAACACTTAACCCCTAAACCCTAAACCCCTAAACCCTGAACCCTAAACCTTAAACCTAACCCCTAAACCCTAACCCCTACACCCTAACCCCTACACCCTAAATCCTAAACCCTAACCCCTACACCCTAAATCCTAAACCCTAACCCCTAAACCCTAAACTCCAGAAAAACGGGGGGCCTGAGCCTCCAAGCCTGGCAGATGGTCTTGGAAGCTTCCCACAGGACTTCCTTCGCTCTGGTGCTGCATCCTAAACCCCTAAAAGTGGCCTGCATGGTTTCGAAACGGGTACGGAGATACATCATGGCACTAGAGCCGTCGGGGCATCATGGAGGTCCTATGCTGAATCTGAAACCCTAGCCAACTGTTGTGGCTCCTATGGCGCGCGTAAGGCCCCTATCGTTCGAACCCAGACAGGCCCCTAAGCCCATGCAGAACTCCTATACAAGACTGGTAGCACCTGCATCCAAGCGCTAATTAAATCCGCTTTACATATGCCCTAGGAAAACGCTGTAAAACTGGAGGTGCCCGTGATGCGGCGCAATCCGAGCATCTGAGACGGGCTATGCTTCACATACGTGCCTGCACGCAAAAGATGCTTGAGGGTTGCTGAAGGGTAGGGGTTGGGGCTTGCGGATTTTTTCCAAATTTGATGTTGCGAGGTTTAGGACTGAAGGGTTACAGTACTTGCCACGGACGAAGTGGGAAACTCATTGGCTCTATCGTGGAAAGCAAGTTATGGGGAATATCAGGGCTAGTTGCACCTTTTGCTAAGGTTCCGCGTTTGAAGCAATGGGTTTGGGGTTTGCGAATCAGGCATCCGGGTTTATAGGGTTCAGCCTGTAAAATATGTGGTTTAGGGTTTAACGAGCATTTAGTGTGCAATCTCTATACACTTGAGGCCTCTAAGCGCGACTTCTTGAAGGATGTTACAGGAGGGGAGCTTGAAGCCCAAGGGTGGGGGATACTTTCCCAAAACCCTACATTCCACTATCTAGGTCCCTTTGGGAAGTGCTGTGAAGGTGCAGCAGAGCTACGGGAGCACTACCTATAGTCTCCATTGTAGTTCCTTTTTTTGGTCTAACCAATCTTATTTTAAGGATCCCAAAAGGTAACCCCCAAAAAGGAACTACAATGGGGACTACAGGTACCGTGGCCAATGATTGAAGTGCTTCCCCATGAT